GTAATCCCACCGGTCACAATAGTGACCGTAAAAAAGGTTTTCATTTATAAAGCTCTAAAAACCTTACTGACTGCTGTTTTAGTGCACTTCCTGCAAATATGGAAAAAATAAAGGGTCTCATTTAAATATGTGCTGTTTCACATGATTAGTGCAAATTATCACATGACCAGAGCAGTTTATTTCCTGTTCGCGCCTTGAGAAGATGATGACTGCATCAAAGCTCCAAAACGAATGGCTAGTAAAGTATGTTAACAAAGATATGACAAATATTTGTACACATTATCTTTAAGGTGTGTAGTATTAATATATGAATTCACATATATTAAGTTTTGTTGAGTGTGGTCATAGAATGAGTAAACATGTTGATGGTCACAATAGTGACCGGTGGGATAACTGAACGTAGGTTTAAATGACAAAATATTGCACTAAATTAAAAGTTCAAATGTTACAAATATGTTACAATATTGATGTAATACTGGTAGCACTAATATAAAAATTTGATGATATATTTTACAAAACAAAGTAACAATTTTGAAATACGTTGATGGTTGTATTTTTTTGTCTTTTATCTCAGTATTCCTATCAACGTTGTATGAGGGTTTTTTTATGCATAATAGTAACCCTAGAATGTGATCAAACAGTTTAAAATAGCTGGGCTAAGATATATAACAATTTTAATGCATAAATATGTTAATTTAGTACACACATTATCCCACCGGTCACAATTGTGACCGACCATAAAACACTTTTTTTTCACACACTTTTCCAACATTTTTTTTTTTTTTTAAATAATTATTGATTATTTCAAAGGGTTACTAATGACACATAATTTGGATATTTTCATGTCTGGGAAAAATTTGGTATTAAACGGGTTAAAAATTATGTTCTAATGATTGTTTGCTAGTTTTCTTTACCAAAAGCAATGTCCAGTTTGTTGTCCAGGTTTAGGTAGTTTGCTGTGCATTTGTAATATGTGTTATGTAGTTCTTCTTCACTGATCACCAAACTCTTCCTCATCTGGTACGTTCCGTCTCCGTTGGGCAGAATCTCTCTTCCTGTGATCTGATCATCATCCACAGGCTGACCATCTCTGAACAGGGTCAGGTTAATGTGACGGGGGTAAAAACCAGTGGCCAGACAGCTGATCTGAAGCCCTTGAGAGTCTGTAAGAGGCTTCCTAAAGAGTCTGACTTTGGGTTTCACTTTAGAAAGGAAGGTTAGAAACAGTGTACAGTAATGTGACAATGCATTAATTATTTATATATGGTAATATGAGTCTTTGTAAAGCATCCCAAACATTTAGTCTTTACTGTCAGTCATATGCTTTTATGAGTTACTTTATGTTCATATTCTTGATTATATCTTAAATAGTTAAATCTGGAATAAAAAATGTTAAAGCCCATCAAGCTCTAATAAAGAAAAGAAAAAAAAAGCATTACTAAAATAGTTCATACAACTCTTGTGCTATAATAGGTGAACTATTATTTTTATTTAAACTAATGCTAACTTACATTTTCGCATCACAGTGTTCTTTTCTTTTTCCAGGAATGCCCGCAAAGCCTTCATGCAAACAGGATGATAAACATGTTCATACAGAAACTTCACATGAAGCCATTCCATCTGACCCATGCCTTTTATTCTCATCCATGGTAAATTCATTTGCATAGTTCTTTTTGCCACATCAAAGGTGAACTCTTCAGTATTTTGTCCATTAAAAGCATCCCATGAAAGAAACAAACCTGGCTGATCATTGTCAAGCAATTCACATCCAACACGTTTCTGATAAACATGCAAACCTTAAAATGGATGGAAATCAAACATAAGTTTTCACTGGCAAATAAAACACTTTTTTATGATTATATAATAGCAAATGTTGCTTCTATAATCATAATTTAGCTTCTAAAAAGAGCTTGAGAAAATCTATTATGATTCATAATGTGATAAATGTTAGATAGCACTAAGATATGTTGCCAACAAAATGCATAAACGAATCTCTTAATATTTAATTTTTGATTGCTGGTAATACTAATAAATAATATAAAATAATAAAAAATAATAAATAAAAAATTTATAGGGTTGCTCTTACCATCTGTGCAATTTTGGTGGTCCTTAAGATAAAATGTTCGATCTTTCATGATGTCATATACAGTGGGTACGGAAAGTATTCAGACCCCCTTAAATTTTTCACTCTTTGTTATATTGCAGCCATTTTTAGCAAATGGCTGCAATATAACAAAGAGTGAAAAATTTAAGGGGGTCTGAATACTTTCCGTACCCACTGTATATCACTGAATATACTACCCGCACCATTGTCATCACTTGAATTACTCTGACTGCGGTGGACAGCTTTCAATGATACTGAGTCATAGTACATCACTTCCACATCATCTAACATCAGCACAAGAGTGAACTCGGGAAACTGTGTCTGTCCAGCAATGTATGTGGCAAAAACCATCAGCGAGTGAGAACCTGTGGGAACATGGGCAAGGATAACACTTTCTGACTAGCAGACACATTATAGTTTAGCATATTACTTTGCTAAACTATACATTAAAAAAATAAATAAATGCACCAATAAGATGATGATTGATTATAACTGCTCATTTAGGGTCCCCAGTTCTCAGTTCTTTAGTGTGAAAAAGTGAAAAGAAATATGGAGGGGCTGTTCCAGTGGTAGTCCAAAAGTTAGCGGCAAAATTTAAATTTCATCCAGGCCACAATTGGTAGTCCCGTCAGCAGAACATTGCAGTAGTCTCGAAATTACAAGAGCTTGGAAGAGGAACAGTGTTGTTGTAAAGCGCAAACTACTAACACAACTATGCCATTGTTGTTGCGATCTTTGCTTTATTTCTTAGAGACTTCCCATACATATGCATTATGTATCTTGATATCGTACAATAATAATTTTATATAGAATGCTGGATTATGTTGTAACCTGTAACGTGGCGTTTGGGTTTTGTTTCTTATTTAGGTTTTCTGGTCTTTTAATTTGATATTTTGCCTTGTTTCATGTTCCTGTCATGGGTTCCTTGCCTCTCATGTGATCAAGTCATGTGCTACTCTTGTCTGTAGGTGTGTTCGACTTCATGCAGCGCTGCGCACACCGATCAGTGAGAGTAGCTGCTTGCAGTCGGGGGCAGAATTGAAAGCGGAGACGTCAAGTCGGACACTTTCTGCTCCCGGTAGTGACGCTCTCGCGGTGTTTGCATACTCTATCACAGATTAAGTGAATAACATGCAATATTGGTCAAATACACAGACGTTTCAGAAACGTTTCATGAGCAACAGAAACACTTTTTATATAGTGCTTAATACAGCACCATCTGTTCAAGAATAAAGTTCAACATAAACATATACTATATAAATACCAATAAAGGGGGTATATATGCTTTTATCAGTGTTTTTTTGATAAACGTGACTCAATATAACATTGCGACTACAGTAAAAAAGCTTTTACTGTTCTAAAAACACAGATTTGTGAGCAGTATTGGAATTGAAGATGTTAGAAACACATGTCATTGTTGTCATGTGGTGAATTTGGCCAATCGTGAAACAGCTGTATCATCATCAGCGCTCCTGCAGTAGCTCTGAAAAAGCTGCGCCAGCTGAGTCAGCTGGCTGCTCTCGAAACACTATCGCGGTACTTTGATGCCACATGTGACAGTGACGTGGCGTCAGCGCCGGTTCAAGTCGGACAAAATTTCTAACTGCCATGCACTGCTTCAAGTCAGCCGTCAATCGGATTGCGCAGCGCCGCATGAAGTCGAACACACCTTGTGTGTCATGTGCCTTGTTTCCCATTGGTTGGTTTGTGTCGTGACTCGTGACCCTTATTGTTTCATATAAATAGCCCTCATGTTGCCTTTGTCATTTGTCGAGTATTGATCCGTGTAACCTGCTGTTGGTGAGTTTGTGTTTCTGTTCATGTCAAGTCTTCATGCTGAGTCAAGTCTGTTCAAGTTTGTTCATGCCAAGTCAAGCCTGTTCAAGTCTGTTCATGCCAAGTCAAGTTTGTTCAAGTCTGTTCATGCCAAGTCAAGTCTTTGTTTGTATTTTGGATTACTTTGAATAAAACTGCACTTGGGTTCATCACAACTCGCCTTCAGTGGACTGATTGTTACAGAATACTCGACCGAAAAAATTATCCCAGCAGTTGCACTTCTACGGTTACGTCAAAGCCATCGGGTGATTGAGGATTATGTGGATGACTTTTGCGGACTGTGCCATTTAGTAGACTTTAATGATGTGGCACTTAAAGACATCTTCCGTTTTGGCCTCAAAAAGGAAATATCTTATATTTAATGCCACGTCACACTCAGCACTGGACTCTGGCTAAATATATTGACTTTGCACTCCGGCTGAGTGGTTCCTCGTTTACTGTGGGGATTGTGGATGAGGAGCCCCGCAATTGTGCTGCACCCTCTGCACCAGAGCATTTTCATGTCCCAACCGTCATGTCAGGATTTGCTCACGTCATGCCTGCTACTCCAGGGCCTGCTCACGTCATGCCTGCCACTCCAGGGCCTGCTCACGTCATGCCTGCAACTCCAGGGCCTGCTCACATCATGCCCTGGCTAAGATAGCTGCCACGCTTGAGTCCCCGGCCAAGATGGCCGCCACGCCTGAGCCTTGTAACGCTACAGTCACCATGCCAGAGTCTCGTCATGCCACGGATACCATGCAAGTTTCGCCTAAGGATTTTTTTTTGGGGGGGGGGGCTATAGTACTCCTGCGGATGCGGTGTTTCTGCATTAAAATACAAGTTTATTGTTTTTTGGCCAACACAACAGAGGTGTAACTTGGGGTTTGGGTTTTGTTTCTTGTTTAGGTTTTCTGGTCTTTTATTTTGATATTTTGCCTTGTTTCATGTTCCTGTCATGTTCCTTGCCCCTCATGTGATCAAGTCATGTGCTACTCTTGTCTGTGTGTCATGTTGTGATTGGTTGCTTTAGACATGTGCCTTTGTTTTCCATTGGTTGGTTTGTGTCATGTGACCATTATTGTTTGATATAAATAGGTGCGTTCGACTTCATGCAGCACTGCGCAGATCGATCTCAATCTGAAAGAATTGAGAAATTTTGTCCGACTTGAGACGGCGCCGATGCCACGTCACTGTCACGTGTGGCATCAAAGCACCGCGAGAGCGTTTCGAGAGCAGACGGCTGACTCAGCCACCGCAGTTTCTCCAGAGCAACTGCAGGAGCGCTGATGACGACACCGCTGTTTCACGATTGGCCAGATTCACCGCATGACAACGATCACGTGTGTTTCGGGTTTAATCTAACCTTTTCAATTCTAATAATGGCCACAAATCTGTGTTTTTAGAACAGTAAAAGTTTTTTTACTGTAGTCGCACTGTTATATTGAGTCACGTTTATCATAAAACACTGATAAAAGCATATATACCCCCACTTTAGTAGTATTTAAATAGTATATATTTACGTTGAACTTTATTCTTGAACAGATGGCGATGTATTAAGCAGTATATTATCAGTATATATCTGTTGCTCATGAAAACGTATCTGAAACGTCTGTGCAGGGGCGATTCTAGGATTTTAATTTTAGGGGGGCTCAGCCCCCAGGCCAGGACTGATTGCCAGTGTGATGCACCCACCACTGATGTCAGTGCGAGTAGCTGGCATCCCCGGGGCCTCAGCACTGGCTATCACAGAGGCTGTTCTCCTATCCTCAGTACTTCCTGTTATGGCATTAGCCATCCTGAGTGTTTAGGCTGCACACTGCACTCTAGAGGCCTTTCCTGTCCACGAGTCTGCCCCAGAGGCCTGTCCTGTCCATGAGACTGCCTCAGAGGTGGCGGCGTCCACTGCAGAACCTCCAGAGATGGCGGCTTCAGCTGCAGAACCTCACGAGGCGGCAGCATTCGCTTCTGAACTCTTTGCCTGTCCTGTCACGGCCAAGGAGGCCGTTCATGAACTCTCTGCTTGTCCTGTCATGGCCAAGGAGGCCGTTCATGAACTCACAGTCTGCCCTGTTATGGCCATGGAGGCCGTTCATGAACTCACTGTCTGTCCTTTCACGGCCAAGGAGGCCATTCAAGAACTCTCT